ACAGAGGCAGAGCAGGAATGGGGACAGGAGAGGCTCACCTGAAGGAGGGATTTCAGCAGCATAATCTGGGTCAGCCGGTTCCTGTTCTCCCTACAGACCAGAGACACAGATGATCACCAAGGTGGTGATAAAGGCAAAGACCCCACACTTGCCTGCCCAGTTCTCTCTCCTGATTAGATTCTCCATGAGGCTTATCTTGTTGGGTTACCCAGGACAGTGACTTCCAGACCAGGGAACAAATGGCTCCCCCCAAGGTGGGAGGTTGTTATTGGTGGGACAGCCTGAGGAACTGTAGGATCCAAAGGCCCACTAAAGGCTGCTAAGGGATTTGAGAGTAGAATGAGAGAAGACAAGTAAGGACAGAACCAGGAAAGTTGAGGTGGAGAAGGGAGAGAGCCCAAAAACGTGGGACGGGGAGTCAGGTGGAATTTAGGCTGGGAGAGGAAGGGGGAGGAAGGCATGGTAGACTCACCCCGTCCTCCCCACCTCCACGGGGTGATGCAGGGAAGGCAGCGGAACCTTGCTCATGATGAAGAGGATCACCTCGGAGCGCTGGTAAGTAGGCAACGTGCTGGCAAAGGAGCCTTCAGGAAAAAGACAGGAGAGAGGGTTTGAGGCCGGCAGCTGCTGGAGTCTCCGCTCAAACTTTCAGCTGAACAAACTACTGTGAAGAGTGCGGGCTGCTTCTCTAGGGAGACGATTTAAGACCCAGAGGGAGACACCTAGATGCGGGCAGAGGACTCTTCCAGGCTCCCGGTCCTTCACTTGTTATTCCGGAGGGTGCAGTTAAGGTCTCCGGGATGGAGAAGCTCCAGTGGCGCTAGGACCAGAAGGCTCTGAAAGTGATGAGCCCTTACGTGCACATGGTGGCTTTATGGTTCTCCCCTTCCACATCCACGTGCATATCCATGGCCTTCTCCCTGTCCTCTTTCCTTCCTTTTCTCTTTCTTTCTCCCACCTCCCCTCCAATCGCTCAAACGTGGAAGCATCAGGCGGGCCTAATGGGGACTGGGGTGCGGGAAGAGTTCACCTGTCTTAGCCTCTGATCTGAACTGCAGGCTGAGAAACCCAGGGAGATTGTGCTGTGATCTAACTCGGGCCTGGCCCAGGCCACTCTGTGAGCTGTGTGTGCCATGGGCTGACTCCACTTCCCGCAGTGTCCGTGAATAACACGATTTAAGTGGATGACAATCTTACACTCCCCTGGACTAACATCCTCGCGGAAGGGACCCCGCCTTCCCGCCCGCCTGCCCCTCCCTCCGCGGTTCCGGCCCCGGGCCCTGCCCCTCCCCGGGCCCACCTATGGTCTTGATGACCGCCTCCTGGAACATGCGCTCTTCGTGCTCCTTGATGATCTTGGTGCCAAGGCTGATGGCCCCATCGTAGCTCCCGGTCAAAGCGTAGTCGATGCTGAGCCGCAGCTGCCTCAGCAGAGTGTTGAACATCTCCAGCACCGTGGGCCCTGAGCGCAGCGGGGTGGGAGACCTGAAATCCGGGGCTGGCACTCCTCGCTTATTCTCCCCTGCCCTGCATTATCGGGCAAGCCCAGGCCCCCTTCCAGCCAGGGGCTTCCTCTGCCCACTACCTTCCCCGGCTGATTTCTCCTCCTTAGGAAAGCCTCCCTATCGTGGCTTGCCCTCTTCTGGAAGGGGAGGCAGCCTACGGTTAAGGGCAGTTCCTTGCCCTTGGCGGGGGGGGGGGGGGCCCCCCGGCCCCCTGCCAGTGATTCGGCGCCCGTTTAGCAAGATTCTGCTGGGGGAAAATGGGGGAGAGGCGAGAGGAGCCATGAGGCCTGTGTCAGCAAGTATGAGATTGGGGGGGGGGGGGGGGGTCCCCAGGCTCCACTCCACTCGGGATCCCCCTTACCCACAGAGCCCGTGGCGGCGATGACAGCAGCTTCCGACAGGACCTCCACGATGCCCGCCCGCACCGTGGCCGCGCTGCGGCTGTTGGCATCCAGGTGGCTCAGGAGCTGCTGGATAACCAGGTGGGAGTGCTGCGGCTGGGGGGGAGGGAGAGGTGCTGGTCCCCAGATAGCAGCCCCCATATGGCCTCTGAGCCAGGGCAGCCCTCGACGAGGACCCAAAATTGGGTGGACAAAAGGGAGGTCCCAAGGCTAGCAGGCACTAGAGGTGGCACCCGGATACCCCAGTTCCTTTTCCTGAGCCCCTCCCCCTCCTCTGTCCAACAAGGAGCTGAGTCAAATCCCAATGAAGACCCAGATTTCCACATTTTTCCTGGGCCCCTTCACCTCAAATGGGTCAAAAGTCAATTTTAAGATACTGTCTTCCTTTTCAGTTTCCCCAGATCCCAGGTCTCATTAGGGCCACAAGAGGCCAGGTGGTTTAGTCCAGTGGTGCTCAAAGTGTGGCCTGTGGTCTGGTGCCAGTTCAAGATCTGTCTGATGCCCATTTACATTGAGCTAAGTATGGAAATCGAGAGTAAGTGTTGAGTAAGCAATTTGACACAAGCCATGGCAGCCAATTATGGTCTGTGGGCTTGTATTTTGCATGAGGTTGTCGTTTGTTTTTTCTAGCAATTCTTTTTGTGTTTTATAAAGTATGGGTCTGTGACATATTAGAAATTAAACTAGTCCCTCTCCACGACTAGGTTAAGCAGTGCCAGTTTAGACAACTAGGGGCTTAGGAGAAGTCACAGAGGGCAGCTGGTTTTCTCCAGGCGTGCACCGTTCCGCTCCCAGAGGCGCCACCTTGGCCAGAGGGACAGGCTGGACCAGGGGAGCCGCCGTACCTGAATTGAGTACATGATGATTTTAAAGCAACGGATGGCGAACACCTTGGGTTCCCAAAGAGAATGGTTATCCAGATGGCTGTGAGGGAGAAAATATGGAGAGTAACTATGAAACGCAAGTGATGTTAGGAGGGAGAAGCTTGGTGGGAGAAAGTCACCCCCCGAGAGACCCAGCCCCTCTCGAAGCTCCCAGGTAAGAAGCAAGGGCTTTCAGGTGTAGGTGAGAGAAGGGAAGCACGAGAAGTCAACGAACAGGGCTCCGTAGCTGTGGGCTCAGGAATGAAGCCGGGCACCTTCCTCCTGCCAACTCCTCTCCCCAAAACTGTGCTCGGTCACCATGTGGTAGCTTTTTTTTTTTTTTTTTTTTTTTTT